TTGTTGGATCTAGAGGGCATGTTTCCCCTCATTTAACCTTTTGATTTAAACAAAACCTTATTATTCTTATAAATATGAAGCAAGAGTGTGTTTAAGAAATGGGGCCTGTATGACCATGATTAATTAGTCGTTTTCCTGAAACCCACATTGGATAAATAAAGGCTAAAAAGGTCACAGCCATTAATTTATCTATCTCTTAAACCATACCGATTTCTACAGCTTTACATTTCAACACTGAGAAAAACATGAAAGATCAAATTCAAAGGTCTTGTCGACAGTCTTCTATGGGGGTTAAGGTTGTGGAATTATCATGAGTTCAAAAGACAACATAGACTATTGACAACCAGAGACTATATTAAACTACTGTCTCCAGCTCCGGGACCCAAAATCTGCAGTATTGATGGGGGAGTGGAGCATGGTAATAATAAGCTGCTGCACATTGTCTTTGTCGAGAGGAAAGTCTCCATAATGAGGGTAGGATTGGACATTACAGTTCAGTGTTACTTTCCAACGCCACAAATATAAACAAAACCGGTCTCAATATGAGCTGTTGTAGTTGCAAAGATGACACCGACATCAATTTGTGCCTTCCAGGCAACTGTGATAGTTCATATTTTGACATGTCCGTGTTCTATAAATTCTGGCATCTGTTCACTCTATAAACACAAAGAAACGCACGAGATGCAACTACTTCCCATGCAAACACATCTGCAGGCTGACATACTGAATCATCACGAGACTTATATAGGTCATTTAAATGTGGCCAGCTACCAGTGGCAGTGAGGCATGCGGAGCAGGGGGATTTCTCTCAGTGTGTTATGGCCAGTGAGGTGGATGAGAGTCGACAGGCTCTCAGGCCAGAAGGCTGGCACGCGAGGTCCTAGGTCCCTCGAGGATTCACTTAAGTTTATAACTGTTGAGTAAGAGCAGGGGCACATTGGGCAATAAGGTCAAACATAGCTGGTTCTCACTTCTGCAAAGACTCAAGTTAGTATTAGTGCTGTGGATTTGGTTTAAGGTTGGGTTTATGTTTAGGATTAATGTATAAGTTAGTTTAGGTTTAAGACGAGAGTCAAGGTTAAACTAACAAGCTTTAGGTTGGGGCGAAGGTTAGGGTCAGGATTATGTGAGGGTTTTGAGCTGAATATTGAGTGAGTGGGGAGGTTGCAAGGATGTTGAATATGCAGCACAGGATGTTCGTGTAAGCATGTTTGCAGGCTTCATATACATATTTAAACTTGGCTCTTGGAATTTCTGTGTGTGTGTGTGTGTGTGTTTCATGAGTAAAGTCATGAATGTCTACCACTGGCTTTCATCCAGTTAATCTCTCTCGTCCAGTCTCTCTGAATCATCCTGGATTTATGCACTTAGCATGTTTGCTGCCGTAGACGTTAATCAGGGCTCAGCTTTATCAAAAGTAGGAGGAATTAAGTTTGTGTTGCTGCTCTGGAAGTCTAACAGTCACACATTACAAGAAAGTAATATACAGTTAAATGAGTCATTCAGATCACCCTCCCACATCTGAGAAGTGGAACTCAGAGGTATGATGACGTCATTTGTTGACTATTTTTCTGTGAATGTTTCCCATTAACTAAATCTGAGCTAACATTTACTCTAATCCCAGCCAGTTACCTCTACTACATTTGCCATAATTTACCCAAGCCTTAATCTCAAATGTGGAGTGCGCCACTACAGAGAGAGACATTATTCAAAGTGTGAGAAGACTCACGTGGCTTATGTCAAAGGTCTCAGAATCCACATTGCAGTGCAGTTGTAAAGCTCACAATAAGCACATTACTTTTGTCCCAATTCAGGGGCCGCCTTCTTCAGAGGACGTGAACTGAAACTAAAATGAGATAGACTGGTCTACCAAGGATTTCATATTTATGTGACCATGCAGCTTGTCAATAAATTGAATCAATCGAATGTTATTTGTATAGCTCGCATTCACAAATCACAAAACATTTGTCCCATAGAGCTTAACAAGGTAGAAACAGGGAAAAAACTCACCTCAGAGAAACTTAGAAGCGTCATAGAGAGCCACTTGTGAGGGGTCCCTCTCCCAGGATGGACAGAAGAACGATAGATGTGTAACTAAACAAACAAAATATTGTAACAAAATTACAATATTTGAAACATTGATTAGAGGAAACAGTTTTTAACATAACGAAAAAGGTGTGGCAAGTATTTATACTTAAGAAAATGTCTGATAGAAATAAAGTGAGCAGTAATGACAATTAAAATGGAGGATTTATTGAGTAGGCATATTGTAAATCAAGCAGCCTTGTTTTAATCATAGTCCACGATCATGTCCTACTCTTATATTACATTGTGAGCCACAGATATCTAGCTCATTAGCTTTGTCACAAGCATGCAACAAATGTTGGGATAAGTTTCAAAAAGAAACCATTTGTTTGATCCTTCGTCGCTCAGGGGTAAAAAAAACACATTTGGCAGGAGCCCACGAAATGGGACAGTCAGTACCACGCCAAGGCCACAGAACGATGTGTCCCCTGAATTTAGACATGGCTATTAAATCTCAGCAGTGTAAAACAGTGTCAAAATGACAAATTGCCTCATAGAGACTTGTTACCTAGCTGTTTCTAAAACATGTTTTGGGTCCTTCTCAAGCAACAAGCACTTACTATAGTGCAGTATAGATACACCTAGATCATCTTATCAGAGGATCAGAAATTGAGTTAATTAGGTTAAAAGATGCATCTAAACCTAATTTTAAATGTACTTCATGAGCCAAATTCCTAAACATCTTTCTATTGATACTCCCCCTCGCACATGCCTCAGCACTACATGTTTGACGTCGACCAACAGATGAGTCAGCTTTTATGTTTCCAGCAGAGTCACCGTCGAGTCACATAACAGTCAGAGCGGAAGTGGAGCAGAGAGAAAAGAGAAGAGACAGCAGAATGTTTGAGAGGGAGAGCTGCTATGAATAATCAATATATACATATATATATGGTTATGGACAAATTGACAAGAGGTACAATGCATGTGTCACAAGAGAGATAGTGAGTAAATTGAAATGCATGTCACAAAGCCCTTTCAATAACCGTAACATAAAAGGATCTTAGGCCAGAGACTCACTCATGAATGTAATTGTTCACCTACCTGCCTATGTACACTGTACATCACGTGTTGATGATATATGATAGGGAGTGGCTGAGTTATCAGAGACTGCCTGTAGTGGGGGTCAGTAAAGACATGGGCCTTGCTCTTTCAAACAAAATGTGTAATTTTACAGGAAATTTTATTTAGGGTGGTATAAAAAGCAACAGAGGATCGGAAAGGGAAAAAAGACAAACCTTTGAGTGTTAAACATTCATCAGTGTAATGAGTATATAACTACCAAGGATTTTGAAGAAGTGAATTTAGAGTGAAATGCGATCTATCCCATGATTCCTCAGTTACACTCCCACACCCGAGTCGACAGGTCCAACATGCTTAGTAAGAATTCATCAAGTGTTTGTTTTCACCGCTCCCCATAAATTCTTTGACCTCTTGCACTGCTTGCACATGTCAACACTTGTTAGTCCATGTGACTTGGCCTTGCCTTCCTTGAAAGTTGGTGGTGTGAACTTACACAGATGAAACATGAAACAGAAAAAATGACGAAGATGAATGTGGACACACCACAGCAGGTGTGCGTCTACATACTTAAATACGAGATTGCTCCAGATGACCCAGGGAGGTCCAAGACATGCTGCCTCTTGCATCCCCCTGTGTGTGTGTGTGTATTTGTGTATGACGCTGGAAGTTTGCTGAGGTGTTGCTTATGATGTGGATCTGTTACACTGCATGGATCACAAGCTTGCAGAGTGCCACTGGTGTCATGACTCAGTCTGACCTGATGATTAAAGCTCTAGACTATACGTTACATGACTGAAAGGGTCCTGTGGTTTCTGTCATCTGTCAAAATGTGACCTGATGGTGACCCTAGGTCAAACATTAAGGGATTCTCAAAGTTGTTGCATTTCATCTTGAGGGTGGACGTGAATGTGTGTACCACATAAAATGACTATCCACCAACAGCTGCTGTGACATTTGATTCACAACCACAAAATCCATCCTCATGTTGGAGCTGGAGGAGAAGTCAGCAGGATACATCCTCTGGGTCCTTTGAACACATGTACAATATTTCACGGCTATCAAAGTGGATCTGTTTGCACTGAACCAATTTTGTGGACATGATTGACTTTTAGTCCGTAGTATGGGTTAAGCTCCACTATTACCTTAATGTAACTCATGTGGAGTCAGACACAAGTAATGTTGTCAGACTTGAGAAAGCTTCAACACATCCACCGAAGACACATAACATTAACTTTACCAACGTGGTTACAGTCCAATGTCACATAGTGTTGTTCCAACCACAAATATTCACATACTCATTTGAATATTTCTTAATACCAGATTAGGTCGAGATATGCAGTTTTCCACCAATAAATCAGATAAATTGCAGAACAAACACATTTTGTGCAGACTGTGAATTGTTTGCCTACTCTCCTGCTTTGTTAATCATCTTGCTGCCACTCAGTTTATCTTGCATCCCCTTGGAGCTAATGTCCTAGATGATGTTCTGCGATATGTACATGAGAGGAGAGAGGAGAGAACCCAATAATATCCACAGGGTAAATTGGAAGTAAGAGAAAAAAAGGAGTAATACAAGACAGACCTACAAACTGTATGTAACCACACGTCATTCCTGAAACACAGTCATACACATGTATGAAGATGGCCAGGGTAAATGACAGGAAGAGAACAATGGTGTATTGTATGGAGCTCACTTAAGGCAGCTTGTTTGCTGTGGCATCCTGTTAGTCAACACAGTACACAGCTGCTGGCCTACATCCTTCAATTAGGGAGACATCACAAGAGTCTCATTTAGTTTTTTAATGACTTTTCAGTGGTTGAAGAATGATGACAAGCACTCTTGCTTTACCTTTAAACTTGGATCCTCTAATCTCTCTCTCTCTCTCTCTGCTCAGGGGTGGATATCCTGAAGCTGGTGGCGGCCCACGTGGGTACCCATTGGATCGACATCTATCAGTCGCTGGCTAACGCCACGGAGCGCGAGGTGGCGGCCTTCTCCAATGGCTACTCGTCGGATCACGAGCGGGCCTATGCAGCGCTGCAGCACTGGACCATCCGGGACAGCGACGCCAACTTGGCCAAGCTGATCAATGCCCTGCACCGACAGCGCCGCATCGATGTAGTTGAGAAAATCCGCTGTGTCATGGAGGACAACCCACAGGTAGGCTGGTTTGATTATGGATGTTTGGACATTCTAATGAACAAAGTAACAGGTTTATTCAGAAGTGCGTCAGGTAGTGTTGCAGTTGAGTACCTAACCTCGAATCCTCCAAAGAAGAGTCTGCATTACCTAAGTCTGAAGAGCTCAGGTAGTGCGTCATCCTATCAATATCAACATGCACAGAAACCTTGCACACTGAGTCCAATGCATTTTATTCTATTCGTTCTAAAAAAAAAACGAGGGAGATAAAATGGAGTGGAGAAATGATTTTGGGCTCCTCTCACTTCTTGAAAGAAGGATAGGAAAACAAAAAAAAATGCAATCCATCCAATCCTGAGAATTCATCAGGAATAAAGATAATTTCGAATAATGCAGCAAATCGAACCTGCACCGAAAACTTAAATGATGGACAAACGTTTTGGAGTTGATGTGTCATTGTGATTAGCACAATATGAGGTTTGAAAAATATATGACAATTTTGGAGGTAAAACACAGACTTGGTGTGCAAAGATCTTGATGTCAAATCCATGACACACAGCGCACAATTCAGAGCATCTGTTAACACATCATTAACTGTCACTGATATTATACACAGTAAAAACTACTTGTAGGCTGGTGAATACACATGCCCACCTATGCACGACATAAAATAATGATATAATATTTTTATAGTCATTATCGTATGTGAAAATATTGAGGCCTATTACAAAATACTATCAAAAAAGTTCTTGTCTCCAACGTCCGAGTCCAAATGCAGTCAGAGTTGGAGTCCATCAGTTCTCCAGTCCAAGTGGAGTCATGAGTCCTGGACTCGAGTTCTAGGACACTGGTTTCAAGGAAAACAAGCGTGACCTTTCCTGTCTCCACATCTTCTCAATCTGCAGCTCCATCAACATCACTGGCCCCGGCTTCAGTACACCGTGTTCCCTGCATCTCTCCCTCTGAAATCTAATCTGTGAGGAAAGTTTTCTGGTGTGTCCCACTGAAGTCAGTCCCCGTGGTTCAGCTGCATTCCTTGCATTAAAGCAACAGCTGCCTTCAGGAGAATGATTTGTTGTTCATACAGTAATTACAGTCACTGCTGCAGACTCTGTCCTCTAAAGACTTTTGATAAATGTTTTTTGGGATAAGTGAGTTAGTGAAGGAGGAAGTTTCTGTCCTTTTGAAGTCATAGTCAATTTTCATTAAATTTTCAGGACGTGGGAGCTGTTTTGACGAATGTTTCGGAGTAGTTAACCTTTTTCACGTTTCAGGACATCATGCACACTTGTTGCTGTAATTCTGTCCTACTGGTCGAAATTGGAATAACTTTTTGAATCATGGAACAAACTCTAGATGTAGGCATGCAGCGGAGGGAGGTCTGGAACCAGTAGACATAAGTAGATATGTGGGAACTTTTGGGTTTCTCTAAAAACTTATGGTCTTGACCTTATTATGTTGTGATTTGGCTCTTAAATTGGATTGAACACAATACCTTTTGTCACAATCCATTCTTCATTACGCAATTGACTTTCGTGTGAAACGCTTTGTAACCTCGTTTAGATAAGTGCTACACAAACAAAGTTATATATAGATGTCACTTAGCCCGTGCCGTCAATGTCAATTTGCACAAATCCCAGAAGTCATGAGTACAAGTGCAGAGACAAATGAAGTGGAGTCTTTGGTGCGATAGATCGAGGCACACACACTCCCTCGTACACAAGTGGTGTGTCCATTGCAAGGTAGCTTTAGAGCTAACATCTGCTCAGTCAGTGCATTGGCTGTATGTGGGAAAGAACACAAACTGTTTCGCAAGTGACATGTGCTTTTTTATATGAAAGTGACTTCATTGTGTTAGTGGAGAGTCAAATGATTTAAGGAGGGAATTGTATTACTCTTTGGAGAGAGAGAAGACACAAATATGGGTTCAGCATGGCACACCATTAACTCATGTGTTCAGTATTTCATGGACACTCAAAACGTACAGCGCCTCTGCCCTCTGTCTTTGCTCTTCTATAAATTGCCCCCACAGGGGCCGAGCTCAGCCTCCATAACACGTGCTGACATTAAAGCAGTCTGGTTCATGTGTGCAGCCGGACGCCTGTAATTTAGTGAACGCCTCACATGACTTATCTCACTCATTGGCCCCTCATGCCCTGCCTGGTATCAGTCTCGTACTGCAAATTCCTAACAACAAGCCCAAAGAGAAAACCACAAACACTGGGGACACACTGGATCCGTCATCACCATCCACTTTTCTTTCTTTTTTCCTCTTCTAATTTCTTATAGATTCGTATCGAGTGAGTGCTCTTGACCACCCTCTTCAAGGTCAGTGCTGTCAATCCAGCTAGTCTCCCGCTTTTTCTATTTGTCTCTGCACTTTCATGCTCATCCCGAATTGCTCAGGAGATCAGCGCTGCAGGCAGAGGCTTGTGTTGGCCTCATGTGTGACTGTGTCATCAGGTTTATTGCACAGTATGAAGTGACTGTGGGTGACTTGAGGGCCAAGAGCGTTTCCATATTTCACTCGTAAATCCAGACATGAGGAGTGAAGTTCTGGGTTTAGCGGTGTCGTCTTCAAGACTGATTCACCTAACTTGCTCAAAGCTCATTATGAAAATAAATTGGTACCCTTGTTCGGGCTAGCCGAACAAGGGTACCCCCCCGTATTCAAGTTCAGCTTGGGATCTTAGCCATCCGCTCTGAACACAACAGGTCTCTTTACTCTCAGGGGAGAACATACCGGCTGGATTTGCTGGATGGATTGTGCTCAGAGGCAACATACTTTTTTAATAATAATAAGGTTTATAAATAAAGCACCTTAAAAAACTGTTACAAAGTGCTTTGTAAGTTAAAACGATAGGAAAAAAACATTTTGAATCACACAGCATTAGAGTACAAACACAAAAAATGTTACAGATGAGAAAAGAGTAAAATATGTAAAATACAACATTAAAAAGTGAATGAAATAGACAGCATGATCAGAACCAGCAGAAAGCACACCTATAAAAGTATTTAAAGCTACTTTCAAACTTGCACAAATGTCCGAGTGAGACTCTCTACAGTTTCTGCAGACTTTCTCCGCCTGGCCTCCGAGTAAAATGTCCTTAGAAACCCAGGAGAAGTCGATGTGTGAACACAGCAGGGGATCCACCAACGAGTTGAGGGTTTGATGAAGAGGTGTCATACACATGGCAGACACTGAAGAATGTGTCAAGAGAGTTTGTGGTGATAAGAGCCGACACCAGTGTCTGTCATGTGATCTCCGCAGCGAGGTTAATATGTCACCCTCTGTCTGCTCCACCCGTCTGCTCCTCCTCTCGCCTGTATAATGCGGAGGATTTGATGCTGTTGTGAACACATCTGTGCAGAAAGCCTCCCACTGTGTTGTGCATGTGCAAAAGGCAAACTCTGAGTAAACTCTGTAGCCAATGGATTGGCGAACAGGGCCTTCGCTGAGATTACACATACAATGTCAAAAGATCTGAAATGTACTCTGAATCAGGGAACACTACAGACTTAAGTAGGGATTTGAAAATAATTAGACTACAACACATTTAAGTGCTTGCTTTTCAGAGGACGGACCTAATATCCAAGTTGGTGTTGTATTTATTTGATAGTTACAGTGATGCAGAGACAGGAAATGGGGAGAGTGAGTGTGACAGGAATGACATGCAGTAAATGGCCCAGCTGTCCTGGTGTGAGGCCAAACTATTCCAACATGGGGTCATACAAGTTAATTTGTAATGTTATACCTCTGGAGCTGTTGTTTCTGAAAATGAGCACTGCCTTGACTCAAATTTGGTGGCTCACAGGGTTATTATGGGTAATGTAGTGTCAGTTAAGGTTAAACAAAAAGACATGTATGGAAATATAATTAAAGTTGGATCGGAATGGGGACAGCTGATCACAACTATAGTGAAAGACCAAAACAAAGTTGCTGTGACAGACCTACAACATATTGGTCATTAAAAAGGTCGGGGTCACTGACTCATTTCACAGCACGTCAGTGTAACTGAAACATGTCGATGCGTCTGTTACATAACGCACTATATGTCATTGAGCATTGAAGAAAAAAAATCAGTGTCGCTGCTGGAACAACTGAGCGTCAGCTGTCTGATGGATGTTTCTAATTTTACAGCTGCTGATGAGTCGGAAACAGACAGAAAGGTGACGGACGTGATGCCCCTTACGTTCACTCTCATTTCTCCTCATCCTCACTGAGCTGAAGGATCCTTTGAGGAAATGAGTTTGCTGGGCAGACCTTGACTGGGTGTAATCACCTCACAGCATCTGTGTGGAGATTAGAGCACCTTCATGAAGAATATGAACAACACCTTATGATGGAAGAATGTCTCATCCCTCTAGTTAACTGAGGACACATCCATACTACTACGTTTTCCTTTTGAAATGCATCAACCCTCATGCGGATACGTCTGGCCCTCGTTTTAGTTTCGAAAACTCCGGGTCTGGACAATAATAACTAACTGTTGACATGTGTTAGAGACAAACTATTATTCAAGCAATTCCTGTTAACACCAGCATATGCATGTCCAATGTATGTGAGTGGTGGCCTCAGATTTAGGTGTGTTAGTGTGGATGAGGATTATTTGTTTCAACCAAAAACACAGTTGTATAGATGCAGCCTTGACACTTTATCTATTTATTTTTCAACTTTTATCATCAATAAATCTTCCAAATTATTGACAGGGCACTAAAAACTCTCATCGTCCATCTAAAATTACATAACTCATAAGATGATAGCTAATTCACCAGAGACACTGCTGCAGGCTCAGGGCATCAGTATGTACAATGTATGAGTGATTAAAGAGCAGCCATGTTGTTTCATTTTGATAAGCCCCCTGTGTATGGTTAATAGATGCCTCATGTCAAAGACTGCAGCAGATGGAGCTGCCTTCCTGAGGGAAGACTGACAAACACAACAAGGGGGAAATGGTGATTTTCTTTTTTTACTATTCTATTTTTACTCTTTATCAACACAAAGCAGAGTCCAGATCAGGATGTCTGCAGGGTTGTCTGAAAGTCAGAGAGCGGTTCGACACTGCAGAAAGCACTTGTCTTACACTGACATTAAACAGCAGTGTCCTGGATAATGTGAGTCCAGTAGCAGAGCTGAGGTCTGTTCACATGCACATTCATAGTGTATGAATTGTCAGGGGCAATTTGGGGTTCAGTGTCTTGCCCAAGGACACTTCGGCACACAGAATGGGGGTGACTGGGATTGAACTGCCAACCGTTTGCTTAGTGGACAACCCGCTCTACCCAGGTGATTGCTTATAGTCATACACAGGAGATCTCAACAAGGTCTTTGTTAATATAAAGTTTTCTTTTTAACACTGATGCCTCTGTAGCTTTTTAAACAATAATTCCCAGCCAGTATTTCTTGATGCCAAATTATTTCCTGCAGATAAAGTTAAGGGGCTATTATAAAGTTGTTATATATATATATATATTTATCACTTAATTTTAAATACTAAGTACATTACAGTGAGGATAAGATGTGTGCAGTTAAAGTGCATTTTCTTTTAGACCTTTTTAACCTTGGATGATAATTCTGAGGCTTTTTTTTAATCTCCTGGGTTCCAATTTGAAATCTTGGCAGACAAAGTACAAGGGGAAAATTACAGTAATCCTTTAATGATGGACACCTATTGAAAGATGACGTCGTCTGCCACGTAAGAATAAGCTCAAGAAATAAGCTTGTTCTAATTTGTGTTTTACAACTGAAATGGAATCTGGTTTTTAATGACACACACACACAAACAAACACACACACATCTTTCGTCTGCCCTCCTCATTGGTCCTCTTCCCACTTCTTTGCTTTTCCACGTCTTCTCTACAAAGTGATTCCACAAAGACATACAGCACACAGTAGTCACCCCCCCCCTTCCTGCCACAATGATGCACAATCAAATGCAATTTCTGCCCTGATTGGGTGTTAATGACTCAGGTCCCATTAGACGCTTTTTAGTCGCTTCCACAACGAGCCCCATAAGATGGTAAAATGGAAACCACATCCATTACTTTCTGTGTGGGTGGGGGGGGGGGGTCAGAAATTTCCCAGAGACTGTGCCGATTCTATTAAAAGTAATTCAGAGAGATTATGTGCATGTGTGAGTGTTTTTGACATTAGGTATGCTTTAATGCTGTCTGGGAGCAGACTTATCCATTGGAGATCTTCTTTACTGGTGAGGGCTGAATGCACCATGACATCATAGAGTCTCTAACAGTGGGTCCGGGCTGAGTTTCTATCCTAGCTGCAACTTAGTTAATAGCTCGTCTGTGTGGGGAGTCATTACAGCCAAGTGAGATTCTTTGCTGTAACATTTCTGATCTAACTAATCAAAGTTTTACCCTTCTGTGGTTCTGTCCCCTGTGCCCTTCACACTGCAGCAGTCTGCCTGCTCTGCCAGTGAGCCTGTGTGTGTGTGTGTGTGTGTGTGTGTGTGTGTGTGTGTGTGTGTGTGTGTGTGTGTGTGTGTCCTACAGACCCTGTTCTGTGCTGACAGGAGTAGTCAGCAACTCAGCCTGATCCTTCTCTCTCTCTCTCTCTCTCTCTCTCTTTCACACACACACACACACATTGCTCCTGCGGCTCCATCCTCAGCAGTCCAGGCTGCCGGCATAAAGTAATCAGAGTCCGTGTGGCCTCAGACAAAGTGGCAGACGAATACGCAGAGTGCTCTATCTGGGTGGGCGGTGAAGTGACAGGGCTTTCACATGGCACTGGGCCGGTAATGTTTGTCACATCCTGTATATCATGCAGCTAGAGGCTACTGCTCCACCCCAACTAATGGCACCAACTACGACATAACACAAATCAAAGGTTATTAAGATGCAAAATAGATGGAGTTAATTTAAGCTACTGGATTTTCAAACTAGAACTAGAAGTTGATCTATGAAAAGGAATTTCTTTTAGACACATTTAATCACCAAGTTTAAATTAGATCACATATACTAAGGTATAACCATAACCTGACATACATGGTCAGACTAAGTGAAAACATTTCCTGGTTGTGTCTTGGCCTATAACCCACCTTCACATCAAGTTTCAAGAAAATGTATTCATTAATTTTGGCGTAATCCTGCTAACAGACAATACAACATTAACTTCTCGGTGGAGGGGAGGGTAAGAAATCTTTTTTTAACCTGAAATAGTTGGTAAAGTTGAAACAATGCTGATATTTCAGGCTGTAATGATTGTGGCTGATGATGAGTGGCTGTGGCTCAGGGGCTAAAGCGGGTTGTCCACTAACCAGAAGGACTCAGAAATGTTCAAGACTGGGGAAAGTGAGTCTCACTCTCCCTTCCTCTGTGCTCTTCAGCATTACACTGAGGACTTTACTGCATAGAGTGGCATTCAACTACTCTGTGTTTGTATTCATCAGTCACTCCTCCTTGTTGCTCTCTTCTGGATGTGAACGATCGTTTTCACAGGGTAATTAAATGAAAGCAGTGTTCATTGTATAGAACAGGGTTTTTTTTTCTCCATGGTGTTTGGAGACAGGCCCTATATCACAGTGTGTGGTCCAGCTATAGGAAGAATCTGAAACAAGATGTTACTGAGGGAATAAAGTTTAATTCAACTTTAATGCGACAAGTTAAAGAGAGAAGTGAGCATCATTTAAAATTCTGACAGCTGAAAATGCGTAGCTGAATAAAATAAAATGTAAATTCAGACTTTGGTAGCCATTTACACTCAAATAGCAGAATCATAAACAAATAGGTAAATAAGAAAATAAAAAATAATTTTTGGAGAAATGGTTGAAAACCTGTGTAGGTTAGAACAGAACAGGTTCAGACCTCTGCCTCGAATGTTTAATATTAGATATTTTGTTTTCCAGTGTGTCTTACATATCCACTGACTTCCTGTCCCCTGAGGCGGCTAAATTTGTCGCCCCCCTGGGTCTGTGTTTTTATTTTTCTGCTCACTAAAAACAAAATTGTTCCAGTTGCATCTGCTGCTCTGTGACAGTCAACAGTGTCTGTCACGGTGTACACATGTGTCTGTGCACGCATGTATGCATTCCTTTGTGAGCGAGACAGAGCGTGTTTGTTCTGTCAGAATCACGCTGCAGCCCGGTGACCCAGACATTATGGAACAGAGAGAGAAAACACGAGAGACAGAGAACAGCGCCGGTGTTTCTGTGTCGTGTCCTGTCGGAGCTCATTCACCAGACCCGATACTGAACTGAACAGGAAACCAAAAACAATTTTCCCTCAACCTTTTTGTTTTTCTTTTCATTTCCAGTGTGTGTGATGAATGAAATAACCTCTACAGTGCTGTGACCTATAGGCGGGAGTGGGTTCAGGCGAAGAAAAACAAGACGCGGTCTCATGATCTCATCCCCAAACCAGTCGCTACTGGTTCAAACCACAGGTTCATTACCACACCAAAGGGGGAGAGAGAGGGGGCGAGGAGGAGAGAAAGGAGTTTGCAACTATAGAGAAAGAGAGACAGGAGAAGATGGGGAGAAATAGAGAAAATGTAATGTGGAAATGTGGAAAACAGAGAAGGAGCCAAATGTGGAAGAAAAGTAAGAGATGGTGGGAGAGGTGAAGTTGAAGGGAAAGAGCAAACAAGAAAATAAGATAATTTTAAGAAAAATGATACCAAGTAAAAAAATACAGGCATCTTTCTCAGGCACAATCAAGGAGGAAGAGGAGAGGAAGAAAGATAAAAGAGTGACAAAGAGTAAGAGAGGGAGGACAAGAGAGGTAAGGTGAAGAGTGGAGAGGACGAGGCTACAGTCACACCATTTTGTTTTTTGCTTGAAAAAGCCTCAACTCCCTGCCGGGGATACGCCTGTCGTCCACTCTACTCCGGTTACTACTGCTGGGCCCGTTTTAGTTTGAGAACTCTGGGGCAGCGATTTAGTCTGGACGTGCAACCGCTTGTTGATTGGGTGTTTTCAGTCACGACGTGGCCTTCGCTGATTAGTCAGGCTCCTATCACATGACCCCCTGTCGGAGCAAAACAACCGACATTAGCCTCGGCTACCAGTGCAGAACGTATTAACGCAACATGGAGGATCAATTACAAGTGTTGCTGACCCGGTTGTCTTTGCTGACAGTCGTTCCGTGATACACATTTTCAGGCATGTTGGGATGGACGGGGGTTATAACTCATACTGAAACTCTTGTGTGGGCAGAGTTAGTTTTAGTTTGAAAACTGAGAAACAACAGACATGTGTGAGGATGTGGTGGTTAATCATACGTTCATGTTTCTCCCCTTCTCCACCTCTCCTCCCTGTCCACTCCTCCCAACTCTCTGTCTCCGCCCTACAGTTTGACATCAACCAGCTGATGACCTCGGTGAATGTAAGCCAAAGCCTCAGCCCCATCCACAAGGCGCTGGATTCTCCCAGCAGCGTTGGAGGCGGCAGCAACCGCAGCGGCGGCAGCAGCAGCAGTGGTAGCGTGGGTGTGGAGCAGTCGCCGGTGGACCGCACCAAAGGCTTCTTCCCCGACGAATCGGAGCCGCTGCTGCGCTGTGACTCCACCTCCAGCAAAGACTCCGCCCTCAGCAGAAACGGCTCCTTTATTACCAAAGGTGAGAGACCGTTCAAACAGGAGTGGCTCATTGCTTCACTGATGCACCCAACCTTTATAAGTACACATTGGCTTCAACGGAAACACTGCTCATTTATTTTGAATGGGGTGACATCATGCGTTGCCGAACACAGGCTCTGGCCAATCAAATCATGTTTAAACAAACACTCAGTCGCAGGCACGAGCCAATCAAGTCATGTTAATGCCTGTGCCTGGTATTTGTTCATCTAGCTGTGCATTTTACTTCCCGTGTACTGGGAATAAAAACAGATGGCAAACGGAGCGGTGCCAATAACCATTTTTCGAGGCTTTACCCACATTTAAATAAAAATAATTGGTGTAAGATAGGTATTGGCTTCATGTTTTGGATTACCTCCATGAACCAACAGTGCACACTGTGGGGGCTGCACTCTGAAAAAGGATAGCTGAACAATTTGGACCACAGTCATTAATGGAGAGGTATATGGTGTTCACCATTCTGTTGCTGCTGCTAACAACCCACAACCAAGGCCATTGTTGGTTAGCTGAAAACCCAGTGTAGTTAAAGGGGGAAAAAATCTCTGATTCATGAAAACACGAATCCATAATCCTGTGAATAATTCAACACTCAGAAGCAGCATATTGACACTGAGAGAGTCACTATGCTATTAATAGCATAGTATGACATGGCAGTAATGATCTGATCCTGATAAATCCTAACAGTGTACTGTCACATGTGAAATGTGTGTTTGCATTTTATATAACTGATACAATATTTGTTTTGAGATATAAAATGTGTTATGTCAGAGCAACATTTAGTTTTTGACCTTATATGTTGGAGCCCGAAATTGAAGTAGAAATACTTGCATAAGTATTCCCTTCATCTTGCATCAATAACAACCTGTGTTGTTATACCTGAGGCAATTAAGATGAGATACGATTAAGATAAGATGATGACAAAGGAAAAAATGTGTCTTGTTTTTGTCACGCGATGCCAGAGTTTTCCCATGAACAGAGATATTATCATGGCAGAGTTTCAGTGGACAAACCCACTGTGTTGATAGAACAGTCTTCTCTGCTGCATCCCAAGTTTTCACTCCATTTCTTTTCTGGGGCAACTATTTTGGCCGACAACTTTCAGTGTAACAACCTGTGGAGCTCATTTAAATAAGTTTTAAAATCCCCCCGAGCATCGTTTAAGGATAACTCTTTATCACCCACTTGATTCTCCTGCTTGTGCAGATACTGATTTTATGAGCTGATTCACATTCTTAACACCCATGACTAATCATAGTGACGCTCACTGTGACTCACACTTCATGAGAATGATGTGACAGCTACCTTCAGTTCAAACATGGATGTGTTGGTGCCCATCGCCCTCATGTGGTCTCTCTGGGTATTGCTCTGAAAACTCAAACTATTTGATAGATTTGCTCACATCAGATGTTTTATCAGCAAAAATTTAATTTAATAGAAAAAAGTTTGGAGATCAGTGGGCTTTTTTTTTTCTTTTTTTTTTATATTCCTGTATTCCTGATATAGAATGCATTCTACAGTTTTTACCTGATTGTAAAAATATGTTGTAATTTAAAATCATAGTTCAATAGTTGGCTGCAATATGTAACCTCACCACTAGATGCAACTAAATCCTACACACTGAACCTCTGTTGTTAATAGGAAGACATTGATTATAGCAGCTTTAATAACAGCTATTTCTCTTCCACGTTTCCCCTCCAGAGAAGAAAGACACCGTGCTCCGGCAGGTGCGTCTGGACCCATGTGACCTTCAGCCCATCTTTGACGACATGCTGCACATCCTGAACCCAGAAGAGCTGCATGTGATCGAGGAGATCCCGGACTCCGAGGACAAGCTGGATCGCCTTTTTGAGATTGCGGGAGTCAAGAGTCAGGAGGCCAGCCAGACGCTGCTGGACTCGGTCTACAGCCACCTCCCCGACCTGTTATAGTGGAGGAAGGGAAGAAGGTAGCACACAGATGGGAGTCAGAGCAGGATTAATGTCCATGTAGGGGGATGAGTCAGATGTTGTGGTGTTCAGATGAAGCTTGGGTTGATATTTGATCTGACAGAGGCGGCCGTGTCATTCTATCACATGATGGTATCGGGGCAGTGTAGAGAAGGTGGCGACTTCCTTTAATGACTCTTTCAACCATTAACTGGAACTTTACTCCTACTTACCTTCCAGTGTCCCTCCTCTGTTGTCTTGTGTGCACACAATATTATTCCTCCAAAACACCTCCACTGTGATACAGGGTCAATAATCGAGGTGTGTTGTTTTGGACACTTTTCTTAAGAATGTCCAGCCTTGTTTAAGGTGGTATTACATGAGTATTCTGACCTTATCTGCATTTTAAGAGCCTCTGAATTAAGGAAAAGTTGGGTTTAAAAGGAGTTCAACATGTGTTGACTCCATGGATAAAACTCTTAAAAAGCACTTTCTGAATCTTAATTGGCCAATGCCTTCATATTTAAAGTTTAACATCACTGTTTTTGTTGGTTGTGCCAATTATTCATTCAGGCGTCTCATGCTTTCAACACAGATTTGAATAATATGACAGTCATAACCACAATAAGTGACGGAATAATCTCACACAGACAATAGTAAATAAGCTACAACTCGAAATGACACTGGTATTACTCTTTGATTTCAAAGGGTATTTGAGGTTCTCATAATACACATTCACAGTTATTTTTTCGAGGTTTGAACTGACCCAAAAATCATGTGCCTGAACTTGTTGCTGTCCCTCACCTCATCCCTCCAGCTCTGCCTGTACCTGGAACAGATCCTCTGTGGGGGTTTTAGGCTGCATCCATGCCACTGCATTTCCCTTTGAAAACGCACAAACTCTGATATGCCTGGCATCCTCACTTACTACGCTAAAACTGAGGAATATGGAAATGCTGCTGGTCCAGTTTTGGTTTGAACATTTGGAGGCAAATGAAGTATCGCATGACCGTCTTTTAGAATAAAACCAGCGACATTAGCCTCGGCTACCAGTGTAGAGTGCAACATGGATAATCGGTAAAAGTTCCACCTCATCAGTCCATGAAAAGAAATCCCTTCTCTTACTTTTCGCCATTGTTCCTTATTGTTCATAGCCTAGCTCTTTCTGCCACTAACAACCAAATGCTTCCTGGTTGCACTGGTATGCACATGCCCAGTGAACAAGAGTCGTCACATCATACACCCATTTTCAGGTATGTTAGTGTGGACGCGGATTAAAACTGAAACAGCCAGAATGCTTGTGTGGACACAAATCGTTTTAGTTTGAAACGACTCTGCTTTACCAACAGGTAGCAGCGTTAAAGATCAAAGAGCTGACCTATCTATCAAAAACATCATATGACACAAATAACGGATTCATTCAGTATTACAATACTGGAGTGATATTTACGTTATTTGATATTGTGATATATGGCTTTGCCCTGAACTGTGCTTTTGGGGGGAAAAAAAGACAACAAAACTTGCCTGTTTCTATGGAAACCACAGCCTCCTAGACGTGTCGCTCTGTCACAATCATAGATGAGTATTCAGTGAATACAGATGGTTGAGTGATTAAAGGAAAAACCAACATGAAGTGTCTTAGTAAGGTGTTTGTCTCTGGACTCTACTGGAGGGATTGATCACCATTCCTCTGAATCAAATTCCATCATTGATGATGGTGGTGGGAGCGCTGTCTAACAGAGGTGGTTGCCTGTGATCTGGTTTCTCCACTTATTCTCCAGGTTTTCCCCTTAATTCTTCAGCCGTCTGTTCTTCTACCAGTACGCACATTCACACCTGTGCTCGCCATCCCTGTTCACCTCAACAAATGTAGCGCTGATGAAGTGTTCTTGATCCATTTCGCAGCTTCACGTCAGCGTGGTTTTGGATGCGTGTGTCTGAGTGTCACAGTGCTATAGCAAGTTGTAATGTAATGATGATGCACTAACTGTATTTTTCTATTGGAGACATGTATTTTCTGTGTCCTCCATTTTCTCTTTCTTTAGTTCTGAAATGCTGTTAACTAACTTTTCTGTTGTAACCTTTTTTTTTACATTTACTTTGATTCATTATGTTATTGTAACACCTCTTTGTTTTTGGCTTGTACATCATGTTTTCATGTTTTCACGTTTTCACGGGCATTCAGAAGTTTTTCCCCTGCTTGGCATTGTGAGACGACCTGGCTGGGATGCAATGCATACTCCATACTCTACTTGAAGTCTACTCGTGGTACTTGATTTAAACGACGAGGAAGTGACGCATCCTTCACTTCGGTCCATGTTCGGCATTCTTAAAGTAACGGGAAACTGAAAAGCTCCACCAAAAAGAAAAATAACTCATCAAGGTTTTTACAGGCGCCACGACGAGAGCAGCGAATTGATACGACTGCTTTCACTAAGCCAGTAGCGATCAAAGCTACCGTGGTGCTCGAAGTGAATTCTCACCGGATTAGCCTGACGCAGGGGGAGTCAACCTCACGACTATTTCAAGTATTCCAGACTGAATGCGGAAGAGTGAAGGCTGTGCTGCTGTGGACGATGATGACGGTGGCGATGAAGATGAGGATGTGTGAGCTTGCTCTCTCCACTGTGCTGCGGTGCTGCGTGAGCTTATTGTTTTCTAAGGAGGTCTGAGAGGATGAGGGTGATACGAGAGATGAAGTGGATGATTGCATTCAAATTTCACGTGTATAACCAGTATGTTTACTACTATGTAACCTCTTAAAATCAAACTATTAAAACTCAGAAAAACATTTGTTATAACGCTTTGTGCTCTTGTCACTTTTTCAGATTTTTATATATGATAAAATCTTTTTTTTTTAAATCTTGAATGCACAAGATAATAAGGTGTTTGCACAAGATAATTACCTTGTTGGAAGTTAGTTCACGTATGTGCAGCAAATTACTTCTGCCAGTGACATTTGCACATCTCCATCCAAGAGCAACAAAATAATCATTAAAGGTCCAGTGTGTAAGATTTAGGTGAAAGGGAACAATTGGCAGAAATTGAATGTAGAATAATCCTCATGATGTTTTCACTAGTTCATTTCATCTAAATTGTATAAATTGTAGTTTTCTTTACCCCAGAAAAGGCCCTTTATATTTAAATATTTTATATTTACATCAAGGGGACCCTCTCTACGGAGGCCGCCATGTTTTTTAAAGTAGTCCAGACTGGACAAACCTTTTGAGTTTTTATGAAAACCGAAGCTACCACAGGTTATTTTTCATGTTTGGAAGGAGAGGGTGAGGTGAGGGGTGTTCAGCTGCAAAATACAATTTCAAAACTAGATATCACAAAATTCTACACACTGTACCTTTAAGACTCACATTCACACCTACACTAATTTAATCTGCATGTGTTTGGACTGTGGGAGGTAGTCAGAGTCTCTATCCCATGCACGGAATGCCCCAACGCTGGAATTAGAGCCAGGAACCATTATGACAGTGGAGCTATGTTACAACAAAATGATCTAGAAACTTTTTAATCATTGGTTAAAACTGAAACTGCTTAAAGAGAGGAGGGGGCTGGTTGACTGTCTGAAGGGCCGCTAGGTATTTTAAAAGCTTGTCAAGTTCTGTGTCAGCCCTCATTAGGCTCAAAGCAAACAAACAGGAACATCTTCATACCAAACCTGTAGCGTGTACCAGAATTCAAAATGTGGTGTGGAAGGCTGTACTTTTTTCACAGCTAAAGATACTTAACACCTAAAGAAAGTCTGCCTGAATGAAATATCACATAAACACATATAAGAGCCGAAATTCCCGGCCTGTTATAATGGATCTGCACACAGCTAATACCAGGCAATGACAATTACCATTATAATGCATGCGAGGAATATGGCGAAACAATGTGCAAATCTCTAACATTAAAAACAATGCATTTTTTCCGACACACATTACGCACAACGTTTGTGTTAGACATGTTGAAAAGGCACAGACTGCTGCAGAGTCAGGATCCTGTCACTGGAGCACGGAGCAGTGGAATCCAACCAGCGTCAGCACTATATTTGAAACTGTGCACTATTCTGATGAGTCAAAATCTGTGTGTATGTGTTGTTTCACAAAGCAGAACTATCGCCCGCAGTGACTCACTTTTTCTCTCCTGTGCTAGTTGGAAATTACTCACCCTCTTACAATGGGCAGCAGAGGAGTTTGTCACGGCTCCAGTTACACTGACGGCAGACGCTCTTGAATACAATGTGTGAGGGGTGGTGGTGGCTGTGTCGAGGCCAAGGACCTACCAAAGGAAGCACAAGTCACAAAGTTGCTAATTTCCTTTCTTTACTCCCTCATGTGCACATTTTACTTCATACTTAACGCTCAATGTATTATTTCTGACAGATTCCAGTTTATATTGAGATTGATTTTGAACCTTCCATATTGTGGTTGCATTAGCATAACCAACTGGCTCCTGTGCCAACCAAAACAAATTCCAGTGATAAGGCACTTGGGAAATTTTTATTTCACATTTGTTTGTTGATCTAGTTAAATCAAAAATGCGACTGCGATGCATGATTTTTCTTTTTTCCACATTAAGACGCTATAAATAACTCTTACTCATAGCTATCAAATCTACTTTGAAGCACTTTCCAGTCAACATAAATGTTAATTATGATGATGACAGTTAATTACAGATTACAGTTAATTCAGCACAATCACATGCTGACTCATTTAAAAGCCACGATGTTGTTGAATGCACTGGATCTCAGCCATTGGACTGTAAGGTGAAAATATTCTCCCTTTATCTCATGCACATTCGATTTGATTCATCTCACTTATATGAAATGGAACGTACTTCTCTTGATGGTCTGCTTGCTTTCTTTCCTGTGTGCAGTGTATTTAGCTTGCTAATGTACTTAGGTGTATTTTTCATGAATCTGTACTTAACTTAAATCGATTTATTTACATTTAAAAGTAACCAATAACAAGAGTGGTAGACTCCAGCAGCATCAGTGATGAACAAAAACTTAAAATGATTTCAATATGATCTTTAATATGAAAAAGTGTTTTCAGTAGTATCATCTGCAGCAGTCTTTGTGTGTTTTTCATTTATCAAACCAAATATGCCACCACCCTGACAAACGCTGTATTGACTTATTCTGGTTTTAAACTTGTGGTTAGAAATTACACTGCTGACTGAAAGCGAGCCAAAAAATGCATTTCAGTGGAAGTGAGTTCTTGCGGTAAGTGCTGAGGAACCTGCAGAGCAAGTCCTCCAGCTGTTTACTGTATGATATGTGTCATTGCCATTGTGCATGCCTTCACTGCAGCTATGGAACCAGTTGCTGGGATTGAGCAAACACAGCGGGGGACAAGGTCGGTGTTTGCCTGAGGGCACGCGGCAGGTTAAGACCTTAACATAACAAAATCATCTAACGGAATCATTTAACAAAAAAATCATCTAACAAAATCATTTCTCTTGCAGTTTTCACAACACTTTGAAGACACGTCACTATTCTGGCAGGTGGTGTGATACTTGTATCTGAAACATCACATTCAAAATCAAAGCATCTCAGATTGAAGTGATTCAAAGGGAGACAAGATAACTGGACTGTCCGTCACTCAGAAAATGGTAACTGAGGAAAAATGGTTTCTAGTTTCATATTTTCCGCTTCTCTCACTTCAAGAAAAGAAAAATCACTGTAACATGCTGCATATCGTTTTAGTTGAAGTTCCACTTTTGATAAATGAGACCTGTTGTTTTCAGTGAACTGCATCATCTGTAAAAAGGTTATCACTTTAGAGGAAACATGTCTCTTGGTAGCAATTTCAAAATGGTCTTATTCCTGAAGATAAATAGTCACAGGAGTTTGGGCGACCCATCCACTGCAACCTCATCACTTCACAGACTCAGAAAAACACTCCACTCATAGTTACTTAGCAAAAGACCATCAGGAGTTTCTCAAACCTGGCGGTGCCCTGCAGAGTTTGTCATCAAACAAACGGCCGACAGCCACATCAAGGGATGGATACCGACAAGCAGGTCTGAGTCAACACTTTCTCCAAATGAATCCAAAGTATCAGGGCTTTTCTCTCTGCCATCCCACTTCTGTGTACACCAGTGTCCCAGAGACTACATTAATACGACACCATATTGTTTTCCAAGTGAGATTTTACTAACAAACATGAAGTTCCTGCCTGGATTTATGTGTACTGCACAGACTAAGTTCTTTTCTCACAATTGGTAACAATGGTGCAGTGCCTGTTCTAAACATGTTTGTTTGTAATGTTCTGTTCTCTTGTCCTGTCTTAAAGCTCTGGAGCTACTTCAGAATTATTCCTTGTCATAGTCTGAAGACTGGCGGAAGACATTTTCAACTCAGTCCACAGACCTATTGCACGCTGCCCAGCCCCCACTGAATACAAGCGCTGATTGCCCGTTGATTCAAAATGTGTTAATATTGAATGTATCGCTCGTCACAGTCGCATCAAATGCAATACTTCCTGTCCTCAGGCCGTTAACAACACACATGCCAAGTGTGAAGGCTAAAGATAAATGGTACTCCACCTTCAGCCAGAAAGACATTTTTGGAATTAGTAGGCAGATGCAGTTGCTAACAATGAGTTCATGATTGCAAACCTCTTTGCAGGGTCATCACAGCAGCCCTCAGATTCATAGCTGATGAGTAGCTCACCCACTGCATATCGTCTGTCATAGCTGATGGTCGAGCACACAAACTCCAGCAAACAGCATCAAGTTGATCCACAAGTGTTTGTCCTCAGAACTTGTCGGGTGTAGCTGCACATTTTCAGCTGTAATGCTTGAGCATGACATTTTTCATCACATTTAAAGTTTGTGCCTAAAAACTACACTCGGTGGCTTGTTTTCACTTTATCAGAAAAGCACAACTTGTCTTTTTCCTGACAGTCGCTCCGATGCTTGTCAGACACTTAATATCTTTGTGTCAGTCTCTTTTCACCATGACTGTGACCTTTTTGACATCCACCCAATATGGAACAAAGGCTGTATGTTCCCCGCCCCTGTTTCAGTGCCTCACCAGTGTTAATGATTTTGTCCTGAATGCTTGAATGCCAATTTCACAACAAGTTAAGTAGAAACTGTGTGTAACCTGCTGCTTAATATTTGGAAAGAATAAAGAAGCACGCTGCTTTATTTCCACTGAATAGTCACTTTTTGTGATTTCTTAGCAATATCTAAACAATTCCTAAATACCCTAATAATACATAAATAATAACGGTGAATCTTTTTATTTAGGTCTACAGCTCTGCATACAGAGTGTATCTGCTACACCTACAGCGGATTTATCTGGATTTAAATTTAGTTTCCACTGTCTTGAACACTGGGTCACTGTCTCCCTGTTTTGTTGTGTTATCATCTTACATTTTAATCTGTTTACAAGTTATTTTGTTTGTCGCTTTCCAACAACACTGTCACACTGTAACCTGTTAGTGAAAACCTAAATACAAGAATCTTTGATCCTGTATTTATCTGTCTAACAGTTTTCTTGTAAGATTATCTATGGTTCACACTCATATACAAATACAAAGGCTGAAAAAGCTGACATAATTCGACAAGGAAACTCCAGGAATGATTAAACCTGTTGAGCCACTGCAGCACAATCTGTCCCTTACCATATTTCAGGAAGTTTTTTCACACAGCCCATAGTTCCACTCGTTCAACATACGGGTTGGGCAGCCTCTACAATCTCCTGCAGAGAGTGAAGCTATTTACTTCAACACATAAGGGACAAGAAGTAAAGCGGAAAGTGAGAGGAAAACGTAATCT